TCCTTCGACTATATTCTGCCCTAATTTTATCAAAACTAGATTATGGTGACCAGATGTATTCAGCGGCCTCTCCTGCAACTCTTTCTAGCCTTGATCCCATCCATTATGAGAGATTATGTTTATGCCTTGGTGCTTTTCGCTCTTCACCTGTTGAGAGCCTCTATGTAGAGGCGAATATTCCATCCTTGACCGATCGCCATGATGCTCCCCCCCCCCCCCCATTGCCTCTCCTAATTGTTTCTCTTCCATGACCTCCACAATCCTTCCATATATGTATAGGATAGTAACGGATGTTAGTAGAAGTTCCTTATTTGTTTGTCACCCATTTACTCCATCCCTTTTCTGTTTGTTTACATTTGCTCTTGTCTTCTCTTCAGTTGCCATCTTTCCGTGTTCATGTAGCATCTAACTGTTCCCTTCCCCTTGGAAAGTTCCCGTCGGGTTTTTGGCAACGTTTGTGTCTGTTCTTCCCCACTGCCAAGTGCAAAAATCCAAATACCAACGATTGATTTCTCGCCTCTCTTAATCACTTACTGTCCACAACACCCCTTCGTCTCATGCCATTGAAGTGTACACCGATGTTCTAAGCCTGAACGGTGTCGGATTTGCAGCAAAGTTTTCTGGACAGTGTTGTGTGAGGGCGTTTATTAGCCTCGGCTAGCATTTTTACAGCTGAATTGTATGCAATTCTTGTAGCACTTACCCGTATTGCATCTATGCCTGTGTCACCATTTGTTTTAGTTTCAGACTCCCTTAGTGTTTTGCAGGCTATAAGAAAATTTTGATTCACCTCTCCCCTAGTACTCGTATCCAACTTTGTTATGCTGTATCTCGAGCCACCCAAAGATAGTTTTTTTGCTGGGTCCCCGGTCGTGTTGACATACAGGGCAATGAACAGGCAGACACTGTTGTGCAGTCAGCAGTACATGACCTCCCAGTTTCATTTAGGTGTTCCATTCATAGATTATTTTGTCATTTCTACCCACCTTCACAACCGTTGGCAACAACATTGGTGTGATCTGGTACATAACAAATTACATTCTATTAAACCAAGTACACACATAGGTTTCTGGCCATCTTCTTGTCATCAGTGCCGTGGTTTGGAGAATACACTCTTCCTTCTTTGCATTGGCCATACTTGTTTTACTCATGGATATTTCATGGAGAGACACCCTGTTCCACTCTGTGAGACTTGTCGGGTTCCAGTTTGTTAGCCACATTCTGTTGGACTGTCCACTATCAACAAGCACACAGAATTTACCTCCGACATTGTCACCACTCTAATGTCCCTACTTTATCTTCCCTCCTTGCTGACAGACCCACCTTTGACTCAGACTCTCTCATTGACTGTTTGACAGCAACTGATTTACTTAATAAATTTTGATGATGTTGCCTCTAGCAGTCCTCGCAGCCCTTTCTACCTCTCCCTCTTGCTCCCCAATACCCCTGTATTCTTCCCTGCCCTGCTGTGCTGTATGACCCTTGTAGGTTTAGTGCTTCATTTTTTGTTATAATAATCTGTGTCCACATACTCCTGTTTAATAAACGGCAGAACCTAATCCTTTATTAATACTTTCCACCATCTAAAGAACCCATAGATATGCCCATGACAAATTTTCGCCAGCCTTCTGATGTCTTGGCTGGCTTAGGGTGGCACAGTGTCTACCACTTTAAATTATATTTGAGGGCTGAGGAGAACATAAAGCAGCAATAGAGCAGGAACACAGCCGATAATAGCAGTTAACACTGAAGATGGGCAGACACAGCCTGGGGCAACAGTGTCTCACTCCATTAGATGTCTCGCTCACACTAGCACATTAACCACAGATTTCTAGTGATGAATGGTTTGAAAAACCGACAAGTTGAGATTGAGACAACTTAGTACAATATGGGAATCTTTATTCAGGAAACGTTTCGCCACACAGTGGCTTCATCAGTCCAATACAAAGAGGAAGGCGTAAGGAAGGAGGAGAAATGAGGTAATCATTCCCCAACCTGGAGTCATGTGTTCAGTCCATCAATCTTGAGAATGTACTTTCTACAAGATTGATGGACTGAACACATCGACTCCAGGTTGAGGGACTGATTACCTCATTCTCCTCCTCTCCTTACGCCTTCCTCTTTGTATTGGACTGATGAAGCCACTGTGTGGCGAAACGTTTCCTGAATAAAGATTCCCATATGCTACGTAAGTGTCTCAATCTTCCACCACAGATTTCGCCACTGAGTCACTGCTGACCACCAAAATCTGCCATTCTCTAACTGCTCATGTAGATGGATTCACAAGACGGAGGAAAGTAGTACAGTGGTACCTCGGGATACAAACTTTTTAATTCCAGAAGGCTGCTCAAGTGCCAGTACCGAACGAATTTGTTCTCATAAGGAATAATGTAAATTAGATTAATCCGTTTCAGACCCCCAAAAATACACTTGCAAAAGCACTTGCATAATTGTTCGAGTTTTGAGCTCTTCGTGTCCCGAGGTACCACTGTACTAGATGATTAAACTGTCATTTATTGTACAGCAACTGAACTGAACTGAACTGAACTGAAGACTCCCAGGTATGACCCAAAAGGGGTGAGAGGAGAAAGTGGGGACAGATGAAGAATAGCTCGGGAGAGGAATGTCTTGAGCTGTAGAAAAAGAGCCAGGGCTGAACCCAGCAGCAGAGTATGGTAAGGAAGATGTAGAAGAGCAGGACACTTGCTGAGTTTGCTGACAATAGATTTGAGTATATCTTAGTACTGGAGAGGTGGGGGGGCAGGCAGGCAGGAGGATCACAAGATAAAGGCAGCTTCAAGATGAAAGATGTGACAGTTGTACAGGAGATAGAGTTGCATTGGAACATGTCCTTGTACTCTACCTCTCCGATTGAAATGGGAATGAACAGTGACACTCAGGTGAAGTTTGCCATCCCAATGGCTATATGAACCTCGCTCAGGCAAATATCGCGATATCATAATGACATTATTGCAAACAAACCCATACCCAGGTGGGCTTGTACCCGAGGGTTCAAGCCCACCCTGGTATGCGGTTTTTTAAGGGAAAATATTTAGTATTAACAGGATACACAAACAGTACCAGTACAACATGACTCATACTACTGACAATTTATTCAGCTGAATGACAGCTTCCTTGTCCTTATATTCTATGTTATATTTTTATTATATCCAGATCTTTGCATTTTCAAGGTTGCTTCCACTTGGTAGGAGATGAAGGAGTGTGTTTAGGTATAGAAACAGTGGTAGATGTAATGGTCACATGGAGAGTGTGGGTGTGGGTGGACAGGGGCTGGCATAGAAGTCTGGAGATAACAGTACAGCCTCCCCTCACTTAATGACTGAGTTCTGTTCCTAAGACCACGTCGGTAAACAAATTCGTCGCTAAGTGAGGAGCATACTATAATGGTAGTGGGTTTGTGTCAACCATCTTTGATATTGTTTTAATGTCATCTTTGCACCATTTATAACATTTCTGGTATAGTAAAAGGACACAAGTGCAACTAATGTGACATTTTATTGTGGGCAACGTTTCGCTCTCCAGGAGCTTATCAAGCCATTACAAACAATACATGGACACAGAGGGTATATAAAGGCTCAGAGTGAGGTGCAATACTAGTGAGGTACCATTTCGATGTTCACTAGTGGTAGAAGTAGTAGTAGTAGTAGTGACAAAAGTAATACAATATGGTAGAGCAATTAATTCGTACATGAGTAAAAGGATATAAAAGCTATTACTTGGGTAACATAAACGTTGCCACAATAAAATGTCACATTAGTTGCACTTGTGTCCTTTTACTTTACATATTGTCGGTAATTCTACCAACTTTATTACATTTCTGGTATATTTTTAAATGTTTATACAGTAGTGTACTGTATATAGTAAAAAAGAGAATAGAGGAAATCAGCTCTAATATACATACATTATTTAAGTATGTATACTGGTCAGAGAGCCCGTCATAAGTTCAAGTCGTTGGTAAATGAGTATGTCGCTAAGTGAGGAGAAGCTGTATTTAATGATTATTTTACTGTTACGTTAATTGTAACCTCTGTTGTAGGCAACTGCCAGAAGTGACAGATTAATGGTTATAAACCCTAGTATTTGATATAAAGAAGATATATACATGTCTTGCTGAATAGGTAAAATTGGTCAATTAGCAAGAACACGTTTAAAAATGAGTCCTTTCTAAATTTTTTTTATTTATGTTAATGTAAAAATTAATCATTTTATACCAAAAGAACTTTAGAAAACTTTGCCCTAACCTTATTATAACAAGCTCAGTTTAATTTAGCCTAATCCAACCAAATATATTTTAGATAAGTTTACAGTAAATTTAATAATAAACACAATGAAATGTATTTTTTTTGTTAGGTTCAGAATGATTTTTGACAAAATTATTGCATACTCAAATTTTTGCTTGCCTTATTCAGCAAGAAGAGTGTTGCTGTTTTCATATTCATATAGTTTATCTGGACATGATACATAGTTGTACAAAGGAATTATATACCTATTCGCATGACCAATACACCATGCTGAATAGTAAAAATATACATGAACCTAGATGGAAATCAATTTTATTTGACTTTAATTGGACTGTCCTTGGTATAAATATCTGTTGTATTTTGTTGTCTTATAATACACTATTAGTATATTTCAATGATAAACATAAACCCATAGAAATATATAGACATCCGTATTAATGAAAATTAATGCAGTGTATGTCCTAAAATCTGAATAGGCTTGGAATATAGTATTTTTATGTAGTATGTACAGTATATACATAAAAGAAGTGAGATTACAGTATTTGATCATTTTTTTATTGTACATTGTAATTGTAAATTTAGTTGATAATTCTTAAGTCTTTTTATGTAATAAAACATTAAATTATATACATGTACGTATATAGTATTTTATATTCATCATTTAGCACTGTATGGTATAAATGCACTATTCTGAAATAAAATTTGATACTCATTATGTGTTGATGGTATTCATTGCAGAGGTGGTGTGGTGTATGGCTGCTTCCTGCTCCTGGGCCTGGGCACACTGTTACCATGGAACTTTTTCATCACTGCTCAGACGGTAAAAGCATTTTTAGCTTAGAGTACCTTTAATTTTTAAACACTGATCAGTGGCAAATATGAACTCACATTGAGACAATTTGTGCCAATGACTGCCTTCTACAAGTTTTCATCACCATACTGTGAAAATAGCAAGCTGTATGACAAAAGTACAGTATTCGGTCATGTGCATATTTTTGATAACCATCAATGATTTTAATAGCTGGATCAAGTATTTGTTCTCGGGAATTTATATGGCACTAAATTGCCAACAGCCATCTAATGGGACACCCACATTGTTGTACTCATTATTGATGCTAAGAAGTGTTATTTCTCTGTAAGCACTTGAGATGGTAAAATCCCCTGATTGACCTTAATACAGTGGACCCCCGCTTAACGATCACCTCCAAATGCGACCAATTATGTAAGTGTATTTATGTAAGTGCGTTTGTACGTGTATGTTTGGGGGTCTGAAATGGACTAACGTTCTTCACAATATTCCCTATGGGAAAAAATTCGGTCAGTACTGGCACCTGAACATACTTCTGGAATTAAAAAATATCGTTAACCGGGGGTCCACTGTATAGTGGTGAGTTTGACTGATTGGTAAACACCTAGGAATGGTGAAGCTGCTAATTTATCCTAGGGTGCTAGCTGACTGAAAACCAATAGTACAGTGTTACTCGGGTTACGAACTTATTCATTTGAGAAGGCTCTCGAGTGCGATACCGAACGAATAAATTTCCCCATAAGAATAATTAAATTAGAATTAATCCATTTTCAGACCCCCAAAAATACACTTACAAAAGTAACTTACAAAAATACTCTACATAATTGTTCGAGATTCGGAGTTGTTTTTGTATCCCTGTTACACTGTATCTGTTTTCATTGTAAATACTGGGGATATTTTTACTCTTTCATTTATATTTCCTCTGCATTATGAGCAGTGGCTTGAATCATGAATATGGTTTGTGGAATGCAAATAATTGGATTTTAACTTTTTTTTCCTCCCTAAAGAAGAGAATTTCTGCAGTATGATGAGAAATTAGAGTACAGTTACAATGATTGCAAGTTATTGTAATAATAGCAATAAATTTATAATTTTGTTATTAGCTTGTGTTGTAATTCTTTCAGTGCTTCATAAATTTGATGAATCTCTCCACATGGTGAGATAATCGTAATTTTTTTTTAAACATATGTATTTTACTTTATACAGTACTTTTTAGACATAATTTACTTCATACTTTAGATATATATTACTTTATACTAAAAGGTGCCATATATATAGGAAGAACAGTATCATTAGTGTGGAAGTAGTACTGGCCTTTCTTTTACTTATTAAAATTTAATTACAGTGTTAATTGCCTATTTTAGTGTATGGAGATGGGGACCTGTCTCTTTCCTTTCAGCTGACTCGTATGAATTAACTTTGTCATAATGTTGTAAACAACTTTTTAAATACTGCCCTATCTAAAGGCTATTTTAGAGTTTGTCAGTGTAGAAAAAAAAGTTTTCACCATTTCATTAATATGATGTGCTGGCAGCGTCTTATCAGTGATGACTTGGTCAGTTGTCTCTTTATCTGATGCTTATAACATTTGCTACATAATGTTGATGCTGGTGAAAAGATCTTGATCAAAGGAATTGAAGCTACCCTCCCTCTTCCTCTGATTAAATCTACATCTCATTCACCAGCACTGTATGACCCTTGTGAGTTTGGCACTCCCCAGTAAATATAGTAATACATCATTCATATGTTGCCATACTTGCTCTGTCTTTAATGACCTTCATTCAGGCACAAGTATTGCCAACAAATAGGCTAGTAACCATGGTTCTCAATATGCCTTTACTCCATTTTAATACTTGCATGTTTGTAATTACTTATTTGTTGCAACAGGAGCAGAGTTATGAGTGAGGTGTCTCATCTTCAGCTATTTATTCATCATACAAGACAATGACATTGAGATAACATGCACAAGAAAATTACATATCACACCACATACTTATGTTTTGATTGTTCATGATGTCATTGTGCTAATGTTCATTTTTATTGGCAGTACTGGGATTTCAAGTTCCGAAATACATCCCACACCAACGAGACGATGTCTGAGCCAACAGAATTGCAAAGGTTATACACACCTATGCAGGTCTGCTTCTCTCAGATACCCAACTTTGTGTTCCTCTTTATCAATGCTCTCTTCAGCCATAAGTAAGTGTTTTCCACAATGCTATCAACAAAGGTAAAGTTGCCTATTCTTAAGTGTAGGGGCTCAAAAGATTTTAAAAGTTACCACACACTATTTTAGGGTTTTTCAAAAATTCACTTATAGACTTAAATGTGATAGATAGCTATATAGTACAACATCTCTCAGCACTATTATTTTTCACTAGTCAGTTATGCTACTGTACTCTAACTAAAAAGTATACTTTGCAGAACAAGCTTTTATTGGGGCAACTTTACAATCTGGTAAGATTTTTATCAAAATATGCAAAATGCACATTCACACCTTTTGGCCAGGTAAGACACTAAACTCGTTTTCATAGACAGGGATTAAGCTACATATGTGGAAACTGCTTTAACTAGTACACTGTACACCATTGAGCAAAAGAAGTACATTTAGCTTAGCTAGAGCGATGGCTTACGTACAAACTACATTTGCATTCTTGGCAATTGTGCTGGCCAGAAACCAGATGACGGTTTAGGAACATTGTCCAGTACATACTGTATACAGTGGTACCGCAGTACTCAAACAGCTCCCAACTCGAACAATTCGGTATTCGAACACTTTGTTCAGTAAAAAAAATCACTCGGTAGTCGACTGTTTGCTTGGCACTCAACCTAACAAACAACATGCCAACTGCTCTTATAAAAGAAATGTGTGCAAAATGGGAGGAAATGCGAAGTTTTCTTGAAAAATATCACCTGGACAAAACTGTAGCAAATCATGTTATAAACCTGCTGAATGACAATGCTATGTCTCACTTCAGAAACATTTTAAAAGGGACCTAGGACAGTGTCGGGGGGGTGTTGCGAAAAAATTTCTAAAAATTAGTTAAGTTTACAGAAAAATAGAGTAAGAATCTGGCAACACTTTGATGCAAGTCTTATGTTTGTCTGGTATTTCTGCAAGGAATTACAGTCATTTCAACATTGCCTTGTGATGACTCGTATCAATATGCACAATATGTCTGAACATGATGTGAATTTTCAGATTTTTTTTATTTTTTAATTATTTCTGTGTATCATTCTAATATATAAAATTCACCAACTGCCATGGTTACAAAGTGGTAGGAACTATAAGAGAGAAAGTGAGGCCACTTGCAGAGCTTAGTGTATGTTGAGCTAGCAACACGCAAGGAAATGGTGCCTCATGGCAACAAAATGGTGTATAATTATGCGAGTATTAACGATAAACTTTATCTACCCAGATGTGCTCATCACAAATGATATTAGATGTAAGAAAAATAACAATAAGTATAATAAAAGACTTCTAAATTAATAGTGTTTGTCATTATATGGAGTGTTTGCCGGCCACCGGAGATACGTGATATAACATAACGATTATGATATAACCGTCCTCACACACTTGTACCTCTGATTATCTAACATTAAGAAAAATGGAAGTTTTATGACAGGGGTAAACCCTGATATCCTATGGAAAGACTAAAAAAAATAGCATCAGATTTTCTTGTTTTATTTTTTTTTTTGTGTTTTTTTTTCCAAGTAACCAGCTATGTGCGTGAAATTTATTTTTGAGGGGAATGAAGATAAGATAAATTACAGTATAGCTGGTCCTCATAATATTGGATGAGCATTGTAAGGAGTGTATTTTTGGGGGGGTCTGAAATGATTAATCCTAAATCTTAACATATCGCTTAGGGAAAAATTTGTTCGATACTCGAACAGATCAGCACTCGAGCAGCCTTTTGGAACAAATTAAGTTTGAGTTCCAAGATACTGCTGTACCTCTCTGTCCTCTTCCTACCCAGGATTTATCACACCGATGATTTCTCTTGTCCCCATTTCTTCCTTCATTCCCAAGAATGTATGTCTTTCTTTCAATTCTTTCAACGCACCGGCGTATCCCCCACCGAGGCAAGGGTGGCCCAAAAAGAACAACATAAAGTTTTCTCTTTGTAAATTTAGAATCTATACAGAAAAGTTAAAAAGCCCCTTGCTTCTCTGCATTTTAAGTCGTATTGTACAACACGCATGGCTTACGAGGAAGAATTCTGTTCCTCTTCCTTCCCCACGAATAAGAGAAATGAACAAGAACAAGAACTAGAAAGAGGATAGAAGAAAACCCAGAGGGGTGTGTAGTATATATGCTTGTACATGCATGTGTATGTGACCTAAGTGTAAGTATAAGTAGCAAGACGTAAACCTGAAATCTTGCCCATTTCTTTTCTTCAACATACCACTGTACCCACACCCGAGGGCGGGGTGGCCCAAAAAGAAAAACAAAGTTTATTTTGCACTTTTATAAGAGACAAAAAAAAAGGACACCAGCAATTCCTACCAACATGTACAACATTTACAGGCTTTTCGTTTTAATAATACCAAACTCACTTGGCATAATGCTAGTACCTCCCTGGGCGGCTGCTGTTTACCATCCTACTACAGTACCTACAAGAATGTATATATGTATGCATTTTGCATTTTTTTATGACTTTATAATTCTCTTACCAGGTTGAAACAGTTTCAGTAAAAACTTGCTCTGCAAAGTGTGTCTTTCCTTCACTCTTGTCAGTGGCATACCACTGTTCCTTCACTCTTGTCAGTGGCATACCACTTTCCTTCACTCTTGTCAGTGGCATACCACTTTCCTTCACTCTTGTCAGTGGCATACCACTTTCCTTCACTCTTGTCAGTGGCATACCACTTTCCCTTCACTCTTGTCAGTGGCATACCACTTTCTCCTTCACTCTTGTCAGTGGCATACCACTTTCCTTCACTCTTGTCAGTGGCATACCACTTTCCTTCACTTTTGTCAGAACATATTCTATACCCAAAGAGCAGCCGTTTTTTTTTTTTTTTTTTCGTAAGGCCCTTTATGCAAGAGTTGGAGCAGTGACTTTATCCCCTTGGGAAACAATATCTGATTACCCCTTCCTCCCTCCCTTTCCTAAAGCACAGTATGACCACTTGATTCAAATTCAAATTCAAAGTTTATTCTCTATATACGGATTACAATGCTGGAGTTTACAGAATTTGGTTATTGGTTGGTTTTACTGTAGTAAAATAATAATTACAGAGTGTACCACTAGAACACCTAGCATGGCTAGGCATTTCGGGCAAGACTTAGATTATAAATCTAAGTTTAAAATATTACAAAATTATGAGTAAGTGGTATTATGGCTAAGTGACTAAATACTAGTTTTGAGTTTAGCAATGTGAATGCTATTTGTTTTGGCACTATCCATAGTTTTTTCAGGTTGGGAGTATCACAGGCCAACTTATGACTATTTAAGAGTCATTATTTTGAGATTGAATTGATATTTCTGTTTATGGTCAAAGGGTGAGTGATGTACGTGTGAACCACCAGTGTATTGATTCGTATAATAATAGTTGACAGGTGTATCAGGGAGATAAGATGTTTTCAGATGTAGTTAGAAGGTGATGAATGTGACTGCAGTTTTAAGAATTTTCCAGGTAGATGTTCCAATTTTAGGGCCATTGATATACATTGAATTTTTTTTTTTTTTTTTTTTTGTTTGTTAAAGTTTAGTCGGACACGGGAATGTCATAGAGAAGTTTGATGTCTGTGTTGACCTGTGGGTTCTGTCACAACTATCCAGTAAGCATTTTAGTCAAGGTTAATATTGAATTTAAAGGTCCTTAGATGTAGATTGCACAGTAAGTAAGTGTGGATGTACTGAACAGGGATAAGTTAGATCTATGAAGAGTGGGGGGGGGGGTGGTTGCCAGGATGGGATTTAGTGATAATTCTTATTGTGGCTTTTTTGTTGGGTAATTATTGGCTTTAGTGTATGTTGCTGCAGAAGAACCCCCAGCGCAGAAGCATAGTTGAGGTATGGAATATATAAGTGAATGGTAAAAGTTGAGAAAGGGCATTTTTGCGGCCCGTAGTATCGTAACGTGGAGGGACCCAACCGTTTGGATACTTTTTTGGTTGTGTTTGGATATGGGTGCTTGAAGTTAGGTTGTTTCGAGGTAAGGCCTAGGAATTTGCCCTCATTATGCCTGGCAATTAGAGTGTTGTCGATCTTAATGGTTAATTTGCGCATCTCCTGCTCTGTTACCAAAAAAATGTAGTAGGTTTTCAGCGTTCAGCGTAAGTTTTTTGATGGCTGTCATCCCAAGTCGATATTTGATCAGCTCCTCATTAACAATGGTGTTGAGGGTGGCAAGATTAGGGTGAGAGATGACATAAGTCGTGTCGTCAGCAAAGAGAATGGGGTTCAGGTGTTGAGATACGTTTGGAAGATCATTGATGTATATGAGGAAGAGCAGGGGACCAAGGACACTTCCCTGTGGAACTCCAGTATCAAGTGGCTGTGTTGTTGATGCTGTGTCTTTAATGGTGACATACTGATACCTATTAATAAGGTAAGATTTGAAATATGCAAGCGCATGGCCTCATATACCATAATGGTCAAGTTTGTGGAGTAGGATGTAGTGGATTATTGGTTCCCCATAAATGGAGTAATAATATATTAAAAAATCTTGTTACTTTGTGTGAATGGTCAAGAAAATCTTTAACAGATACAGTGTACTGTATTTCATTGGACATTAACTATTTTTTTTTTTTAATGTGTGGCCAGGCTCCCACAGCGACTGAGGCTTCTAGTATCGCTAACTTTGATGATCATACTCTTCGCCTTGACCACGATACTCACCCAGATCAACACAGATGATTGGCAGAAGGGCTTCTTTATATTAACTATCCTCATCATCATTCTTATCAACAGTGAGTGGGTGCCACACAAGATTTTTTTTAGTAAGATTATGGCTACTGTGTATTAAAAATTTGTATTATCATTTTATAGTGTTCACTTATGTTTCTTTGAAGTGTCACATAGAATGTATTAATAACTAAAATAAGTATTAAAATTGCAGTATTTGAATTAAAAAGAATGAAATAAAAGCTCAATTTCTAGTTAAATTCATGTATACAAAAGTGGTTAAATCACTTTGGACAAAAAAATGAAACATAGGTAAAAAGAAATCTGTTGATTTTGGCTTGAGTTAGAAACCCTCTTTAGTAGGTCTAGATTTTGGCCTCTTGAGTCCAACATATACAAATATCTTTAATCTGTGCTTCAGTTTTCCTTCCAAGTCGTTTCTCACTTAATATCATTTAATGTTTAACACCTTAATCCCAGAATCTTTCTTACAATATCCTTTATAGGTTCAGGTGCAATCTTCCAAGGTGGCTTATTTGGTGTAGCAGGCATGTTTCCTGAGAAATACATGACTGCTGTAGTGGCTGGGCAAGCTCTAGGAGGTGTATTTGCCTCTGGGGCACGTATTGTCTCCCTCTCAGTGGGAGCAAAGGATGAAAATGCTGCATTTATATACTTCATGATTGCTGTTGTTGTAATGATCCTCACACTTACTGCCTACCTCTATATGTCCAAAACTGTGAGTAAATAATATCTATTTTTTCAGTTTCCACCTTAGTAATTTTATGGAAAAAGCACATGTATTAATGTTGCCAGTATGGTGTTTTTTTTTTTTTCAATGAACTAGCCATATCCCATTGAGGCGTGGTGACATATAAAGAAAAATAAAAGTTTTTCTTATGAAATTTAGTAATTTATAAAGGAGAAGGGGTTACGAGCCCCTTGCTCCCGGCATTTTAATTGCCTCTTACGATACGCATGGCACACAGAGGAAGAATTCTTTTTCCACTTCCTCATGTAGTTATAAAGATATTATTCTTTTAAAAGAAGTAGTACTTTTAAGCCACATCTAGTGTTCACTTCATCTTATAATCAAACAAGTTATGTAAATTTATTGATCACTCTTCCTTCTAGTTTCTCTTGTTAGAACTTAGCTGTCCAGCATTGTAAATATTAGTTTTTTTTTTATCTTTCTTCCACCATATTTTTTAGTCTAATATTCCTACATGTTTTGTTCCTTTCTTGAGACTTGCCTTGCATGCTTCAGCTTATTTTCTATGTTGTTATTTTCATTCTGACTACTTTTGCTGTACTTCTTGCTGCTCACACTGTTGCTGTTGACTGCTCATCTTTATACAGTTCATATTGTAACATATTACACTAGAAGTTTGGTTTTCCTCTAATTTTCAACTTATATTGTGCTTTTGGATTCCCAGTCTAAATATTACAAATTTTGTTTATCTAGCTATCTACATTTTCGTTTGTGTTTTGTGAACTGCATAATGCTCAACCTCATTCAAAATATTTTCACCAATATTAACTTTCAAATTTGAGTACTCAGCAATGGTGCTGGTGAAGGGTACTTGGTTCAAAGAATTGGAACTAGCCTTCCATAACTTAGATGTGATTCCCTTCCATTTCCCAGGCATTGTATGATCCCTACTGGCTTATTGCTTTCCTGTGGATACAATAATGATAATTTTCCAACGTTGCTCCTGTTTCTTCATAAAACCCATTATTTAATGAATAAAGTACTAAACCTATTACAGTGCTTCTGTTTTTATTGAGACTTCATTATATATGTAGAAGCAGTGCTGCTGTTTACAGTTATTGTCTCCAGAGATATACATTACCTGTACGTATATTAAAATATGATTTCCAATACCCTATCTACATTGGTCTTGTTCACGTATTTTTCCTATATGTATTTCCATTATTCTTCATTCAGAACTTACAACTGTTTAGGTGCATATGTAGAGAGCCCCTTGGTATGCAGAGCATTTTTGGGCATATCAGGTCAATTCACTAACACCCAGATACCAGTTTTACTGATAGACGAACATGGACAGCAGGTGTTTTAAGGAAACATATCCTGATGTTTCCACCCATACTGGGGATCGACCCCCCCGATGTCAGTGCATGAGGTGAGTGCGCTAGCAGTTGAGCTACCATCGTAATCGACAATCAGTTGTATCAGGTTAATTTTTAGTCGTGTGATGAACCCCTTTTTTTTTTCAAATGCAGGAATTTTACAACCACTACACCAACTGCCAAGCACCTGAAAAAGATAAGAGTGGGCCTCCTGCTGGCAGGACAGTAGCTGAACAAATAGAGACCTTTAAGGATATATGGCCTATTGGATTGTCAGTATGTGGAGTTTTTGCAGTAACACTTGGAGCATTCCCAGCTCTCTGTGTTAAGATAATTTCACACTCAGAAGATGATAAATGGGCAAGTAAGTATTTTGTTGTCTTTGTTGTGAATTATACAGTATAGTTTGTAAACCTCTTGGTATTGGAAAAACTAAAACTTCACATCATTATTAGACAGGAAATTAGAAATATTATATAGATATTTATGTAGATAAATATTTTTTTTTTTTTTTAACAAGTCGGCCGTCTCCCACTGGGGCAGGGTGACCCAAAAAGAAAATACTTTCATCATCATTCAACACTTTCACCTCACTCACACATAATCACTGTTTTTGCAGAGGTGCCCAGAACACAACAGTTTATAAGCATATACGTATAAAGATACACAATACATCCCTCCAAACTGCTAATATCCCGAACCCCTCCTTTAGAGTGCAGGCATTGTACTTCCCATTTCCAAGACTCAAGTCTGGCTATATAAAAACAATCGGTTTCCCTGAATCCCTTCACTAAATATTACCCTGCTCACACTCCAACAGCTCGTCAGGTCCCAAATACCATTCGTCTCCATTCACTCCTAACGAACACGCTCACGCATGCTTGCTGGAAGTCCAAGCCCCTCGCCCACAAAACCTCCTTTACCCCCTCCCTCCAACCCTTTCGAGGATGGCCCCTACCCCGCCTTCCTTCCCCTACAGATTTATACACTCTCCATGTCATTCTACTTTGATCCATTCTCTCTAAATGACCAAACCACCTCAACAACCCCTCTTCAGCCCTCTGACTAATACTTTTATTAACTCCACACCTTCTCCTAATTTCCACACTCCAAATTTTCTGCATAATATTTACACCACACATTGCCCTTAGACAGGACATCTCCACTGCCTCCAACCGCCTCCTCGCTGCAGCATTTACAACCCAAGCTTCACACCCATATAAGAGTGTTGGTACCACTATACTTTCATACATTCCCTTTGCCTCCATAGATAACGTTCTTTGTCTCCACATATACCTCAACGCCCCCACTCGCCTTTTTTCCCTCATAAATTCTATGATTAACCTCATCCTTCATAAATCCATCCGCTGACATGTCAACTCCCAAATATACGAAAACATTCACTTCTTCCATACTACTCCCCCAATTTGATATCCAATTTTTTTTATCTAAATCATTTGATCCCCTCATCACCTTACTCTTTTCTATGTTCACTTTCAACTTTTTATCTTTACACACACTCCCAAATTCATCCACTAACCTCTGCAATTTCTCTTTAGAATCACCCATAAGCACAGTATCATCAGCAAAAAGTAACTGTGTCACTTCCCATTTTGTATTTGATTCCCCATAATTTAATCCCACCCCTCTCCCAAACACCCTAGCATTTACTTCTTTTACAACCCCATCTATAAATATATTAAACAACCATGGTGACATTAGACATCCCTGTCTAAGACCTACTTTTACCAGGAAGTAGTCTCCCTCTCTTCTATACACCCTAAGCTGAGCCTTACTGTCCTCATAAAAACTCTTTACAGCATTTAGTAACTTACCACTTATTCCATATACTTGTAACATCTGCCACATTGCTTCCCTCCACTCTATCATATGTCTTTCCTAAATCCATAAATGCAATAAAAACTTCCCTACCTTTATCTAAATACTGTTCACATACGTGCTTCAATGTAAACACTTGATCTACACATCCCCTACCCACTCTAGAACCTCCTTGCTCATCCGCAATCCTACATTCTGTCTTACCTCTAATTCTTTCAATAATAACCCTTACCATACAAATTTTCCTGGTATACTCAGTAAACTTTTTTCATAATAACAATGTATAATAATTATACAGGCATCCATTGATGGAAAATGACCAAAATTTGCCCTTTACACAAAAAATTATTGGGTAAAATGTTGGATGCCTATATCAAGCAAGCATAATTCAGTATGTATGCCATGACAATAATATCATGTGGGAGTTCGATACGTGGATTAGGGTAGAAATACTCACGTAGGCTGTTATTACGTATAATCGTAGATATGTGGAGAAACCCGCAGCCGTTACCTATCTCCTTGGTTACACTCGCAAAACTGACTAGCCGGCTGGCCAGTACCCCGTAGTGGGTCCCTTTTTAAATAATGTCAGCTCCACGACCGTGACTCAAGACGGTTGGTCGTTGATCAACGGACAGGTTACTGGTAACTGTTACTCTACTGGAAATGGTAACTGGTTTTACTACAACTGGGAG